TTCCCTTTGGTAAAAATACCTTCGATCTCTTTTGATATTTATCTATGTTGAATAATTTCGCATGAGCTCCCTCACAGCGATGATACTGCTGTTTTCACAGGTGGCCATATCCATTTCTAGACTTGTCATCTTCATTTGCTCCTTTATGGTATGTAAATATTTATGTGGTAGGATTCTACTTTATGCCAGTTACAATATATTGATTTGGTATGATGTCCTTCTGCTTAAACGAAAGGGTAGATCATAAATCAACAAATAGTACTAAGCCAATTTGGCTATTTCTCTGTTCCCTAATGCTATCCAATTTTGCTTGATTCTTATTCAATAATTATCTTTTTTTTAATTATGATAATTAGAATTGGAAAATGGCATTTTAATCGATTCTCTCTCACCTTGAATTTACTGGAGATGTATTTCTAATTCCAAGACCGGAGTAGAAGTGATCCAATGTTGACAATCATGATCCAATTTTACAGGCCAGCAAGTAAACGAATAGGATTTAGAATTGAACAAACGGACAAGTTTCAACAACATGAAAAATAATATAACATCATCTCATCTGGGCTAGTAAAGCTGTTCTTTGATTAGCCTTCCCGGCATCTCTAACGTCATGAGTTTGTAAACTGTAGCAGACTAACTTTAACTAATTTTAAGAATTGAAGCTTGAGATTTCTAAGGTATTTGTTCTGCAATGTGTAAATTTTGTAGGTATGCTGCAGTTGGATTGATGCATTTCCCGTGCTATGGCATATTTGCTCTAATTATAAAGCTCAAGTACTATTGGCTGTCGAAATGGTTCCCCTGATCTTGTCAGATTTTGAGGTGAGAGAGGTATAGTGAAAATATCAGAAAGAAAATCAAATGTGTTTGCTTTCTGGAGATGGATAGTGTATATATACTAGTATTCAACACTTGAGAAAAGGTGGGTACAGAATCTGGAGACCGATATTGTTTATAATTGAATTCAATAATATGGTATTGTTTACCATAGAAATGCATGTAGATTGCTGTTCGTGTGCTTATATTGGTTGAGTAAAACACAAATTTTGGTTCCTAAGTTAGGAAATTGAAAAAACAGAAAATACTTAGTTGTATAAATGGTCTCTGATGGATTTATTATTAATTCTGAGTGTTATTTTTTAAAATAAGCGATTCAACTGATGGATTTAT